GCAGTCCCCTCATTTATCAATACTTCCCATTATAGATAATCCCTTATTCCCCTCGGTCTTTGCCTGGTGGTCCTCACATCATCTTAAATAGCTACATAATTTGCTAGAAGATGGCTCCATCCATGGTTAGGCACATTTTAAAGAAAAATTGCAGGCCCCATTTTCAGAATATTTCAGATATTTGCAACTCAGACACTGGGCCTCTTTGTCCCAAACAGATCTAGCCATGTTTGAAATTTAAGAAGATCTGGCAACCCTGGATCGACTATGTCCATCCTTCTCTTGTTTCGGAAAGCTTGACGTTCCTCTAATCCCTAAATATTTTGTTCTTCAGCACATTACAGATCCTGGCAACATTGAATAGTATATCTCCTCCCTTTTTTCCTTTTTTTTTCTCTCTTGTTGTCTCGGTCATATTTCCATCCTCTATTTTCTCTCTACTTACTTTTCATCATGATCTTTGGGTACAAACCTCTTAAGCAATATGAGACAGATTATCTTACATTTTAACCACCTGATTGCTCTTTTTGACTGTATTATGTATAATGGTTACAGTTATTTTCTCATGTACCAATATATACGTTACTACAAACTATATTTTGTATTCTTTATTTCAATAAATTTTAGAAAAATATTTGATATAAAAAAAAAAAACAAGAATGTCAATAGCATTTTTAGAAGAGATCAGCAATGGCAGCACATATATTTATATTATGACAGGTTTCCTGAAGCACGGTAAAGATTGCAGGGCACTCTTGCAGGGAGTTTGAGTAGTATAATCTGGATGGCAATTTTTTTATCAATTACTCTGCAACATTCTGAATGCTCAATTCACAAAGATTTACCACCAGGATACACATCTTTTTGAGCCATGTGCCTATAATGTCAATCTCTCTTGACTCATTTTTGGTAATAAGTATGAAAATCCTGGTTTTATACTTTGTAAATTAAGCCTATTTTACCAGGTTAAGGATCCTTATTAAAAAATTACAGTTAATGAACTTTAAAAAAAAATGTTTAGGACCTATTTTGCTGGCATTGAGGTGCCTTGACTTTTGAATCATCTGCCTAACACAGTGTGTTTAAACACACAAAAATGCATGCATAACATCGCATTCTAATATGGTGTGAATGGGCCCTAATATAAATTTAGGAGTAATTTGAAAACTTATTTATTTATTCAAAAAAGAGATTGTCCTTAAAGCGCATAAAAAGCAATCTAGATTGAACGCTCTCTTTAAAGCAAAAAAAAAAAGAGTTTTGTCTGGATTTTCACTTCAAGGCTTACGCTATTATGATATTCAAAGCCTCACTTGGGGCACCAGAAAAACAGTATCCTTGCAGTGGGGTTTCCCCGCACTGCAGGGGCTAAATGTCTGGGGTTGTAGATTAAGCTGCAATACTCACCCTGCTTCTTGCTCCGGCAGGATTCCTTTACAGTACGTGAATGGCCCCCAAAGCCTATTCTTTAAGGTGCACTGGCTGGCAATCGCACTCTCACATCATCACACACAATACAGGACCAATAGTCCTGCATTGTAAGTGAGGATGGTGAGGGCCAGGCCACAACCTAGAACATTGGAAAGAAGAAATTAGTGCCGGAAACCTGTTAGAGTGAGGAATGAGGTAAATATTGCAGTGCTACAAATGTATAGCTTACAGTATTGCATGTTTTAGTTCAATCTGACTTTATTAAAGTTTCAATTACATTTGAAAAAGGTGAAAACACAGGTTCACCGAGACAAAAAGGACAATACAACATCACAAGATAACAAAGTATTGGAGTGGATAACATCAATAGTTTAGACCGTAATACATCTATTTCACAATTCTATCAGAGTGCCAGGGTAGGTTGTAAAATGAGCATCTCAACATAGAGCTATGGGCCCTTGTGTCAATCCTTACCCAGGGATTATCAGCACCAGCCTACCGCAGTCCCCCCTATAGTGGGTCCCAGCGGTAAGGCACGTGACACATCGGAATGGAGTACTCATGGAGTTCCCTAGGCCTTGTTGTGCAATATAGAGATGCCTGGCAGTACCAATGACAGAAGGGTTAGGGGGAGGGACAAGGGGGGAGGGGTACATGTATAAGGAAGGAAAGATGGGGAAAACAGACCTGTTGAAGTAGAAGGAGGGACAGGAATGGGTACAGCGGACGCCCACTGTCGGGAGAATTATCCCACGGAATCAGAAGACTCAGTTAGCTGAACCAATCAAGGTTTATTGTAACACAATTGCGGAGGTTACAACAGACTCGACATGTGTAGGGACTGACCCAGGCACCAGTCTGTGTAACTCTGAAGAACCCTTTCCCTCCCGCAGTCTCTTATAGCCCTTTTCTTCGCCCCCAGCTTCTCCCTCTGTCTTGGGTGAAGTTCCTCTTTCGCATCTGGCCCTCACCTCTTGAATTCTTCTTTGACAAGTAGGCAAGTCATTGGGTTCCAGTTTTGATGCACTTTACCCAGACCCACTCTCCTGTTGTCAGTGTTTCTGTTGGTTAAAGGATATGGTGGTATGGGTGTGTGACCTGGGTTACAGCGAAGAGCCTGCCCTGGATTGTGCTTTGCGCAGGTGGAACAACACTGGGAACAAAAATGTTTAGAAAGGTTTGTATTCCCGGTGCATGAAACTGTCTTGTGATTATGGCTATCATCCCTCCTGTTGACACATGGGTCACACCATGTGTCACCAACGCTGCCAATCTAAACAGTGTCTTGGGTAGACATGCTTTCTCTTGTACTTCATAAATTACGTCTGCATTCAGATGTGCTCCTGCTTTTAACCACTTATTGCGTTCTAGGCTGTTAGCCTCTTTCTGCTAGACAGTTTCTAGTTCCAAAACAAGTATATATGAAACCTTTCTTATTGTCATTATTCTACATGCATAACTACTGAAAATAAAGCTACACATTGTTACTTATGCTATTATGAAATGAACAATCTATAACTAAAAATGAGTAAATATCTTCACACCACCTCCTGCCAGGCAACTAGGTGGTGCAAGAGCAGCCACACCCAACAGTGAAACATCTGAATAAGAGATTGTAAAGCATCACGCATAAGTGTATTTATTATGTGTAGTTATGTCATTATTGTACAGTAATGGTGACTTTATCTTATGTGTCAGCTGTTTTATCTGCCAAAGGATTTGTATTTTTGGCCGACTTTACAGTCGGGTTGGTAATCTGACATTTCTGTGCTACAGTTAAGCAATGAAGCTAGGTCACTTCCCTGCCCCTACACTGTGGTTGGACAATGAAGAAGCAGCAACAGTTTGCCCTCTGCTGCATGCGTGCATGTAAATCACTTTATTGGCTCCTTGGGCTTCCCTCTCCCACTCACAATCTGAGTGCTGCTATATAGGTAATTAGAAGAGGCTGGTACATAGTAAAATGTAGGTACTTACACTGGCTTTATTTAAAAATAGATTTCATTATTTTTAATAAATCTATAACTGCATTTATTAGTGTTTTTCCTAGAGTTAATTTGCTAAAATTAATGTAAACCAAACTTTTTAAAAGTGTTTTATAGGTAAGGATTAAAACTAACCTATATCGGGTAACTTTCTGGTAACCCACTGGGGAGATTTCCTGTCCGGGAGTTGCAACAGCAAATGAGAGGAAATTTCTCCAAAGTATACATAATTCCCATCTTAAGGAGTTGTCATTGGAACAGGTGATCCATGGTTCAAATGGTTCATTTTTTCTCAGTTTTTGCTCTAGTGACATCTTTAACATTTTGTAATTCTTCTCTCTGGTTTTGGATTTTCTATCACTTTCTGCCTGTCTGGCAATGGTCACAATGAAAAATAGAAGGGGGAATATCCCCATCAGGGGCACAAACGGTAATAAAAACTGAGGGGGAGGGGGTTATCTACTCTATCCAAAACAAAAAAGTTTGCCTTTACAAACACTTTTGTAGTGCTCGGATTACCTTCACAAATCTAAACAATAAAACTCCCTGTAGACTGGTTTGTGCGTTCAGATTGGATTATTAATGAAAGTTTAAAGTATGGAAGACTCAGTTTTATGGGCCTTGTTTTATATATATAATGGACAATGTAGATAAACTAGGAGAACACACAAAAGAAGCACCACTCCTCCACAGCTCAGGAAAGGAATGAGTCGGGTGCTTCCCAATGGACCATGTCCTCAATCCAGTACGAGCCCACACAAACCGAAGAAAAGCTGGCCGCACACTGGATTCTGAAGAGATATCTACGACTAAGCCCATGATTAGGTGAACTGCGTCAGTGGGGGCAGACCTTGGGTGGGACCCCAGTGATATGTGGTACAAGCTTCAATAAGCTATTCCAGTGGAATCTGGTGTGCAGTCAGCTTTTCATCTGTTTGAATGTTGATAAACTATTACAAAGTTACTTTTACCCATTCAGATTAGTGATTAATGATCATTTAACAGTACATTTGAACAGTGTCTGTTTATGTTTTCTGTTCTCACATTTTACTTTATTTTGTGTTACTTTTCAAATTTGGTACATAGACTAGAATGTTAATTTTTAATGTCTGATATAAACATATATTTTTACTGCATATGTTCATTGAGGAATTATTTAAAAGCTCCACAATCAATTTTTGATTAACTGGATGTCATGGACTAAATTTATCATTTCTTCAGCCAGTAAAAAGCATAGTCATCCTTCAGTTGTAGCATGTTTAATTTCTAGTCTTTTTAGGGTGTTTTCTTTGAAACACATATTTGCTAGGTTACATTCTTACATTCTTCACGAGTAAGCGTATTTTAGAGATGGAATTTCAAATAATTGTTTAAAATATGGGTATTATTAATGATAATGTTTTATATACCAGTAGTTTTTGTTCCATAGTGCATGCTACGTGTTTGTGAAATATAAATCTATATATTCAGTTGTTTGCTAAATGGTGGCAGGAACTGTTTTTATTTGAAACAAAAGTTTTTACTCATTCTTTTTTTTAAGAAACAGGATGCTTTTTCACTTGATTTTCTGATGTCCACATATAGCTTCACCGCAAACTGGAGAATCTCAGAGATCACCTTCAAGGCAATGACAAAGGATACTCTCTCCGAGTAAATGTACGAATTAACTCGGCAATTTTTTTCATGCATCTATATATTTTGTTTAATGTCTGATGGCCAGTAGCACTGGAATTCTAAATATTCACCACCCTCATTTAGCCTTTCCTGTGCCTCCATTTATGTTTTACATGTGCATATTTGAATTTAGCAGGGGTTTCATTTGAATTTGCAGAGACCTTATAAGTTGATATTCTAGTGTATTCCCATTTTGTAAAGAAAAAGCACTTTTATAAATTTATCTTCTGATATATTCCATATATAATTCTCTAACATAAGAAGGAACTGGATAACACATCAATAATTTTGAAGACCATATACAGTATTTTTGTCAACTCATGTACGGGATAGATTATGGTTTTCACATGCCTAAGCTCCAATATATGATTTAAATATTTTTTAAATATATAAGTGTTTGAAAAACAATGTGTTTTTTTTTATTGTTACCAAGATATTATTTAGATTTTTAATAAGAATGGCTTTTTAGCTACATGCTATTTTTTTAACATTCACTATCTCCTACAAATTTAAGAATACCTTGAAGAAATATCCTAAATGCTTTGTAATGTACAACATGTCTAAGCAACACATTGTGTGACAGTTATATGTACTTGAAATGTCTGTTTATTTTTTGTCAAATGTTTTGTACGATAAATACAGATACAAATGTGTGATACATTTGAATGAAAACCACAATTCAGAAAGTATGTGCACCAAATAAACAAAACTGAATGAAAATTGAAAAAAAGTGTGATTTACAATGGAAGCTACCATTGTTAGTTTTCATTCTGCAAATTCTAGTATGCAGATAAGGACTTCAAATTTTATTTTTTACATACTCATTCGCCATATGTGACTCAAAGTATTGAAGCCAGTTGGTCAACACCGTAGCCTGAATATTAGCATTTTAGGAAGGCAGTCGTAAATCACAGCCCCCATATTTCTTTCTGGAAATGTTTACTTTAATTAATGCTACTCAGCAATAGAAAATCAACAGATATCGCACCTTTTATTTCAATCTTCAAAACTACAGCAGAAAAGTTGCACATTATTTTTTGTTTTCAAAACTGCTCTGTGTCTGGGCTTTGCTAATATTTATTTAGAATGGTGCATCCAGGATTGATTTTGTATTACATTCCCATACACCTTGCAATTATCGTTCAATTTCCAAAGGAGATCGGGTTTTTGTACAATAATCGGCCAGTTGATGGGAAGTGAACGATCAGTATTGGTGTACAACTGGCTGCATTCAGGCTGGAAAACTTTTTTTTGAATCGTACGAAAATTGATGGATTAGTGGCGTTTTCGTACAAAATAAATTGCATCATTAACACTGCACATACGCAAACACAATCCGTTCTGTCTATTGACTAATTCGGTCAGTTAGTATTGCTAACGAACGATAATCAAAAGCCACATTGGTCTGTGCATAATGGGGTATTCGAGCGGAAATTAAACTATGGTTTGATGTAGGCATGAAAAAAATCTAACGATAATTGTAAGGTGTATGGCCACGTTAACATTGGTCCAGGCTCTGACAATTAAAATAGCACAATACTCAGAAATCCCCTGGATATAGCTAAAATATTTTTAACCCATACTGCAATTTAAATTATGTTAAACCAGGAGAACTTGCACCTTCTCCACCCACATCTATGGACAGATCACTATCATGATTTCTAAATATGATCCGCAACAAGCCCACAGGTCAAGCGTGTAGTTGCCTTGAAAAACAAAAGTGTCTCTACCTGAACATTTTGCTTGGATATTCTTTAAAGTATAAGTTAATAAATTGCTAAAAATTCCCCCAGCCCCTGACTTTAGCCCCCTCAATACAGTAACCTTGATTGGGACATTGCTTCAGCAGTGCAAGTACACGCCTTCAAGTCTAAGGGTCGTTAGTGTGCAGGCCCAAACCAAAATTTCACCAGCTGGATTAGGGGATATAGTGTACTATGTTGATCAGTGTGACTGGGGGAATTTTAAACAATTAGTAAAGTTCTACTTTAATGCTGGATTCACACTTGTACATAACAGGAATATGTGCATTATGGCGACATGTATTATAAATCATACTTCAAAGCCCATCTGAGGCTGTGATGCGAGGAACCCTAACTCTCTGTTAAAACTGAGAGAGTGAAACCAGGGTTCCACACCTGAGAAGCCTCCGCAGCTGCGATCCACACTACTGCAGTCCATTCAGGCGTTACAAAGTGAAACTAGGCATTGGCTGCTGAGTTTAAGAGTTTAGTCTATGTTTACAGTAGTTAGTGTATATTCTCTTTTTTTATTTGCTAGCAATACAAATGTGACCATTATGATTAAAAATGTCTTAAATTTTTTTAAACATTAAAAATCTCAGAATGTGGCATATTGTTTTCAATATAGCTTAAACATAACAGTGAGATTTATTGAACTAAACACTTTTTAAAGATATTTTAAATTAAAATGTTATTGCATGAAAATCTTAGATTACCACAATCTAGGTACATAACCTTATCTTTGTCAACATTCATTTATGAAATTTCTTCCATAGTATGTCAGGATCCTGCTGAGTTACTGCTTTCAGGATACTGAACATTTAATAAATGCAGTTGAGCATTATCTTCTAATAGAAATGTAGATTTTAGACTTCATAAAAAGCTAAGATTTTGGATCAGTCAAGAAAATAATAATAATATATAATAATTTATGTGGGTAGATGTTTGAAACAATTTGAATATATATATATATTTTCATGATTTCAGGACTTTCTGGACATTTTTGTAGCAAATATAAGTTACCAAATTTGAATTTTTCTTGTTTGTATTAATGTGCTCAAAGAACTATACTGTGTGTTTTATAATTTGAACAAAATAATTTGAAAGAAAAACACTTTTTTGCCTGGTAGCACAACTATACGTTGATTTACTTTTCTAAAAACTATTATGTGTTTCTTTTCATAAATGTTCCCAGTACGCAAGCAGGCTTGATGCATGGAAATTGTTTGCTGAATGGTTTCAAAATTGTTATCAAATTGAAAAACAATATTTATGTAACTTTGAATGGTTCATGTCTTTGTATTAATGCATGAAAATTAAAATTATTTCCGGGGAGATTTTTAACCTGTATTATATTGGCCATAGAACTAATAGTATTTATTGATCTCTTTATTTGAACTATCCAATGATTTTTAAAACTTACAGCGTCACATTTAAATCTCAAACGCGTCACTTATATTCATGTTTTTCTTTGGAAAAAAAAAGCTGACCGACTTTTCTTGCCTGTAATGCATGCATATGTGAAACATCATTTTTTTGATTGCTCCCTTATGTTTTATGTAGTCTTGTATGGCAAACAATTTTAAAACCTTAAAACATTTCACTTTACCCTCTGAAAACGTATACGATTTGGGAAAACATGTCTGTGATTCTAAATGAACCCCCTGCTATTGTTTTAGTTTTTAAACCATATTTACAGAATTACTTCTAAAACTTTTCTGTTAACGCCATTCCTTATTTAACCGTGTTTTCTTTTCCCTCACTGCACAACCAGGCTCGGCTTCCTTCCTGCTCATCCACCTATAGTGTTTCTGAGGTATACTTGCACGTGACTTTTTTTTCTTCTATTTTTTTTCCCTTCCACATAGTTCACACCCTCACTCTCACCTCCACCGTGTTTTAATTTATTTATTTTTTAAATAAGTTTAAATTCTGCACACGTGGGGAAAAAATAGCATATACAATATGTATTTGCATGCTTAACTTGCTCTTGTGTTTTACATTGTTTGAAATGCACTGTGGCTGTGTGTACTTATTGCAACGTAGACCATTATTTCAACTGCACAAAATTGTAAAGAAGCTATAGATAGATAAATAGCATTGTATCTATCTATACAATAAAACATAAATATGTTCTTTGTACACAGTATATTCATCAGGTAACATTCAGTCCTTTTTATGCAGCTGATCTGAAATCATTGTTAGCAGAAGTAGTACCAAATAAATACATATATTTTTCCCATCATTCCAACTTAGAAGCTAATTTCGAAGTTCTTTATTTGTTAGATAATTGTGGACATAACAAAGAAAAAAAAAATCTGCCCGGATAAGCCAACAAAAAATATACTGTCATTGTGAGATCATTGTTATGTATAACTGGTTGTCATTTCAGTAACTGCTGTGGTTCAGGATAGGGACTAGCTTTTTGGTGATTAACTGGTAGAATAACTATTATATTTCGGTATCCAATGTTGACCTTATATAGGAAGGTTAGTTTCTTTGCTTTGAATGATGATTGTGTTGTGCAGTGAATGTCTTTATAAGTCACTATGCCACTAACAAAACTGTAAGCTCACCCACCTTTGATTCCTATATTATGCAATGCTGTTGAGTGACTGGGTACTGCATTCACTGTTATAATAGCTTATAAAAATGACATAAAACTGTGAATGTGCTTATTGTGCTGAACAACAGATGTTTTAATTGTTGGATCCTGCCTGATGGGAAGTACATGGAAAGCTTACAGTATAACTAAAGGCAAAACTTGTTCTTTGGATGGTGGTGAGGGGCTAGAACCAGTGTCAGGTTTTGTATTGCTTTCTATGTCCCCATTAGGGAGATCACTCTCTTCAACATGTCATAACAACAATACCGCTGTAAATGAAAGTGCGGGGAAATCGCAGACTTTGAGTTGCCACCAAAAGAGAAATAGGGGAAAAACTTCAGATGAAGACACTTTTTTTTAATAACTGTTTTATAACTGTTATTTCCATTACATTGGAAATATATTCTCTCACTTCTGTTGAGTTTACAGGACAGTAAGTAAATAAACATTTCCTTAATGAGACCCCAATGGAAAAACAGTGGCTTGAACCTTCATCTGCTCTATCAAAAAAAAAAATTGGTTTTAGATATATTTTAAGAATTTTGGTGGATCAGGGACACACAATAAATTTGCAGAGCCGGTCTTGTGTTTCTTGGATACACAGCATTAAATTTATCTATGAGCCATTGCTGCTGGTGTATTTCTCCCATACGTGTTCTGATGATGCTTTCCATAGAGACAGAAACAAACAGTCATGATCAGGTTAATGGCAGGTGATCCCAGTGCTGTGTAGACCGTGGAAATCTTGTTTGGTTTGTAGATCTAACAAAAAGGTTTTCGTAGCTGAAAAATTCTGTTAATGCTTTTTTTAATGATCAAAATCACACATATGCCATCTTAACTTGACTGAAATTATTTTTATTCAAATTGATCAGCTTGATCAATTTTTGTAGGGATTTTCATTTAAATGCCACACCCACAATATGCCAAGGTCTGCTTGGAATTCATAACAGCAGACACTTTATAAAATGTTTTAAACAGTGGCCAACATTTTGATTAAGCAGATCTCTTACATAGTATATGTAGAAATATTTTTCTTTGTTCCACATTTTGTAAATGCTGTTTTTCCTTTAAAAAAAGCTTTTACAGGCATCTTGTACTTGTGTAATTTTCCTGTGCATGCATTTATTAAGCCTTCGGCAATGTCAGTTTGCCCATTGACATTGTTATATGTTTATTTAAAAATTATATTTGCCTTTTTTATGAATTTAATTATATTACTTTGCATACTTTATAGCATTGATACTTATTACATTTTACAGTTTACATCATAGTTGACTACATGCATTGTAAATGCAGCCTTTTTTTTTCATTTAGTCCATAGGGTACAATTAAATAAATCCACTACTGAAAGATGGAACAAAAAGTAGAGCAATTTAATAAACCAAATTTAGTTTTGAGCATGTAAACAGCACACATTGTTCTAATCCTTCCTTTGTGACCATAGATATATATTGTTTGTTTTGTGTTATTAAAAAAAAAAAGTATACTTCTTTACCATAGCCAGTTGCATACCTTAATATCATGAACAAAAAATTGCAGCACTTTCTTATCAGTGTGCTTTCCATCCTAGTGTGCAAGATAGGCTGTGTTCTCCACCTCAAAATGAAATAGACCTACAAGAGAGTAAAGCTGGCCATACACCTTACAACCATCGCACGACTTTCGTTGTGTGATGGTTGTAAGGTAATAAAAAATTTGTACGATCTGCCCATCTTGGGCAGGCAGATCGTACTTGCGATCATCGCTGAGGGGAGGGCTTTCTGATGATTGCAGTGCTGAGCGGGCAGTGTGATCTATTCCTAGCACAGTTTTTTTCTATCTAACAGTCATCCTATTGTCTGCAACATACAATGCTGTTTTAACACCTCTCTCTGGGCAGTTTAATAACACCTCATAGACTCCAATTATGTAAATGCTATCAACACCTGGCTGTGACTAACAGATTATGTGGATTGGAGCAACATTCACCATATTTATTCTCAGATAATTTTTTCTACAAGTAATTCTGAATTGAGAAAGCTGGTTGGATGGCCAGTGAAACATCTTCAAGAAAAATATAGCAAGTCCAGTTGCCTTGACTTGTTTTTTTTACAGATATACCATGACCTGGATGAATGAGAACCTTCACAGACATACATCAATGTACACCTGCATTTAATAGCTACCAATAAAAAATGAATCAGAAGCGCCAAACGTTGACCAACAAATGAAGGATAGTTGCGGGTGAGGATTACTAGGGGTGCTGCCCCACTTCAGCCTGGGAAGCTGCAATACTGTGGGAGGAAACAAAAAAGAAGGGCGCCCACCCTAGTGTAGATTCTTTTCAATATCGTATATTGAGGTAACAATAAAAACATACTCACAAAAGTGAATCAAGACAGAAGTGTATAAGGTAAGCCAGAATGACATCTGCAACAAGCTGCACAGACAACTGTGTGACAGCACAGGACTCCTTACGATGACGCGTTTCCGGGGCCACGCCCCCTTCGTCAGATGTGGTCCTCTTCCTCACTCTCACAGTAATATATAGGAATGTGTGATGTTGTAAAGCCAATGCAAACTGTTAACCGATGTGCTAGTCCACCTCTCAGGGCGGCGTTACAATTAGCACGGCTGGAATAGCAGTTCTTCTTTCGGCAACATCCTCTGCTGGAGGTGTGAAGCCGAAGGACCAATCAGCGACCTCTCAAGTGGAACCCGCCCCTAGTCACTCACACTGTATCAGCCAGCCCGTCTATAGAGACAATGATCCAGGACGGCCAGCATGAGTGGACTGTGTGAAAGGGGGAAGATGGAAGCTGAAGATATAGAAATAAGGGCATCAGAGGTTAAATGTATATGGCACATGTGTTGTATGTCCAACTGAAACACTGTGTGTATGAGGGAGAGGACCAAGATTTGTAAGAACTAAGACATACTGAAGACATGATAATTAGATAAAGTGTATAAAATATATAATGTATATAAAATATAAGAAAGAATGGGCATCAATTGTTTCCCATAGTATTTTCATAGAACATAACATGATTTGAAAAAATGCTCTTTATTAAGAGCAAAGAGGATCGACTTTTACTAGGCTCTATGACCAGAATAATTTATAATGATAAAATTCAGTGAATTTTAGAACATTCAATGACTATTAAAAATATAATAAAAATATTAAAA